CTTTATGTATCAAAAAGAAAGTATTATTTGTAAAGTCGTAATTTACGAATGCCGATCAAACGATTGGCGTCGTGTTCTCAATGTTTGTTTTTTACATTTTCTAAACATGTTCAGTTTCTTTTATATGGGGTGTGACTATAGTGACAGACGTATTTTATATTGATGCATAAAAAGATGAATGTGTAGACGTCGTTTCAAGCCGTTTTATGCCCGCAGTCAATTTCAGGCAACTCCAGATTTAAACATTCTTCTTGAACTATTGTGATGTAAGTAGTAATAATTACTGGGCATTAGAGATGACATGGGCTTGCTTATTAGGAATTTAATGCTTGTCCTGAACTTGAATACCCGACAAAGGTTCCCATTTAGCATTTCTCGTGTCTTGAGTAAAAACTCAACATTGTAAATTAAGGCCGATGTGGCAAATGTATTACATGCAATCTAATATGCGCATATAGTGCAGCAAGCGGAGTACCGCATTATATAGAATTGGTTTCTAGTTAATCACAGAGGACTGCGAATAGAAAGACTTACATTAAACATTATCCCAACTTATAAAAATGTATGCAAGTTTATGTAACTCATAAACATCAGACATTAGAGACATACAAATACAATTTGGGTAATGTTTGTGTCATGTTTGTTGTTGCTCATGAGGTTGAACCGTAATGAATAGGATCGCCACAATAGTCCCGATGAGATGTGCAGTCTATTTATCTCTAATGTTCAGCAGTTTACAAAGTCGAGGTGACCCAGCCAAACCAGAAGGACACGCAACAAACCTTGTCCTCGGCCCAAAGCAAGAACAGTGCATACCATGTAAAATCTCTCAGCAGCAGTAAACGTGTCAGCCAAAAGTCAGTATGACACCTCCCACCCTCCAAAAATTCTTGCCGCTTTGGAACTAGCTACAGACTGTCCAGGCTACTAACAACAAACAAGGTTCACCCCACTGCTTGGCTCCCACAGCCCACGTCTAAGATATGAGGACGTAGGTTACAAGTATCCATATTGAGATTAACAGTATTAATTGCATGACCAATGAAAATGGTACAAATTATATATTTACTGTACACAAACAAAGGGGCAGGGTTCAAAGCACGCACTTGAACATGGACATTGGAATGATACACACTGTTGATATACATAGACATACTATATGACGTTCAAGAGAGAAGAAACCGCCTCCGTGGTGTAGTGGTTAGAGCGTCCGCCCGGAGAGCGGAAGGTCGCGGGTTCGATCCCCGACCGCGTCATACCAAAAGACTTTAAAATATGGTACTTGTTGGTCCTTGCCTGGCGCTCGGCATTAACGGGTACAACAAGGACTGGTCGGCTCGGAGTCGGTATAATGTATCTGAGTGGGGTATTCATGCTTCACTGCGGCATGGTATCTCAGTGAGCTAGCACTATAAAACCAGCTTCAGTCTGGGCTAGTACAAGCAGCCGCAAATACACATACACACGCATGCACGTCGTCATAAGAGCGAAATATTCTCAAGCACGACGATAAACCCAATTTCTCCTCACCTCACCAAAAATGTTAGAAGCGCACGTACAATCTCCAAAACAAAACAGCAAGATCATCAGAAATACTCAAATGAACCCATAAGATACAAACAAACGCACATGTATGTATTTGAATCTTTCACCATTAAAGACTGCACATGAGGCAACACAATTTTGTTAGCTAATTTCTTTGTACTTTCAATGTGATGATATACATTTTTCATCATTTTTAAGCCATGACATAATGCCATAAACGATTTAAGTACTCGGGATTATTTTCACAAAAGCACCAAAATCATTACTCGTGTTCGGATTGGCTTGCCGTACTTTCGCACATAACAAGCATCGAGACGGGGACGAGTGGAGATGAATGTCGTGGAGAAAGAGGTTAGGTTGAAGGACCAGCAATACATCTCTCTTTCAAGGAGTTTTGGAATCCTGTACAAAAGAGTCATGGGCATAACACCTAAGGAGTCGTATCGAAAGTTAACAGTATTGATGTACAGTTTTGTCAGATTTCTTCCTCAGCTGGATACTGACCTGGCATGTTACAACGTGTGATCAAACAATATTAATGAAGTGAGGCTTACATATAACTGTTATGTTAGGATGGTGTGATTTTCAGAGTTGAATGCAGTTGAAAAAGTTGGATGCATTTCTGCCGATGTCCGATCATGTCGATAATTCCTGTTGTGTCTCTCCAACATGAAACATGACTTTTTTAAGTTTGACACGTTTTCAAAATGTTTTGTGAAAATTGGTTTTGCTGTAAACTTAAGTAGAATACAGGATCAGTTATGAAAGTAGGACAAACATTGCCACGTGTGTGCCAAGTGAACAAATACCGCATTGAAATGGGTTGAAAAGGAAATCAAATCTTGTTGAATGCAATGACTATATTCTGAATGAAACATTTTTGTATATTATAGAAGTTGGGTTTATGTTGAACATTATATGAAATCCGAGGTCACTATACATTGAATTCGACAGTTACGAGGGTGACATGTGTGTTCTTGGGTTATGGTAATGGTATTCCTGAGATTAAATATTTGTCATCAATATAGGAATTACCTGATATTTACAGATAAAAAGCAATAACATAACTACAATTGTTTATTTTGTTACAACTTTGTTCATTCATTTTTGTGATGACCAATGTACAATAGATCTGAGTTTGTACATAGTCATTGTCATCTCTTTCGTGGCGACCTCTAAACAAACAAATCTGGACTAGACAAACACGTGACTGAAGGCATGAGCAACTACACACTTTGACAGACACATGATCAGCAAGGTCACACAATCAGCAAGGCCACGTGATCAGTTAGGTCCCATGATCACCAAAGCCACATGATCAACTAGGTCACGTGAACAGCCAGGCTACATGTTCAGCCAGGCCACATGATCAACTAGGTCACATGATCAGCCAGGTCATGTGTAAATTCAATCCGCTTCTCTTAAGTCGACTTTTATATGTCAAGTGTTTGATGCAAGGGACGCTACATGGAGAGTGGACACTTTGAATATTGGTAAGGCCTCCAGGTTTTTCAGGAAACAGGTATGCCGAGTCCTTTCGATGCGTCACGGCTGTCCTGCACAAAATAGAAAACATAGTGTAAAATGTTTCATGAAGTATCAAAAACATTAAAGTTGAGACTGAAAGATTTAAGCTCTGAATTATTCCCGACAATCATCCATGAAAGTAATATTGCATGATGCATATCCATCTTGGTTGCGAGTGTCCCGCTCAGTATTCCGAACATTCTATTCTAGATAAACGTATTTCAAAATGTTCTCAAGCCTTGATTGTTGGAACTTACTCTTGAGTATAATACATCCTTAAGAAATAAAAACAATTCTTCTTAAGCAAGGAAGTGATATCAACGCACTGCACAACAACCGCTTACCAGGTTATCAGCATCTGAAGCTGTCACTCTGAGAACCACGTCTCCAATTGGCCTGGTCTCGAGAATGGTCTCTTCATAGGTGACGGGGTTGAAGATGGGTGGGTTCAGGTTCCGGTTAATGGTGAGTTCAACAAGTTCCTCATTCGACATAAATCAGTAATTGTTTCCATAGTTCTTGTATATACGCAGGACACTGCAGAACATATATTTTAAAACAATAAACTCTTGTCACTAGAAAGTTTAAATATATGTGCTTTGCATGTTATTTGCAGATTGGTTACTGACTGAACTACAGTTACCTGACAGAACAAACATTACATAAGCTTGATTTACCCCAATACTGTATATACATGTCTGTATCATAAATCGTAACTATGTATATATGTGACAAATAGTCTGTTTTAACATTTGGTGTTATGACTTTTCTATTTGTAAATAATACTGTAATGAAGAAATATGTATTATAAGATATAACTCTTTTATACTTTGTAATGAAAGTGTGTACGTACGCATATTTGGTATGGTCGCTATATACCTGAAACAATGCCGATGCGACGTAAAACATCAACTAAAATCAACTCAATATATATGTCAATAACCCTTGCTTCTTAATAGTATTCAAACTAACAAAAGAAATGTACTATAAGCTCTTCCTTGTTGATGTAATGTACGTCTTTAGTTTCATCATATTGGGATATATGATACCCAACTTATACGTTCCAACTCACCTTGATATTTGATGAGTCGACTCTTTGACTTGGCCGCCATTACAAGTACTTATACCAGTAGGGGGCGTTATTTCCATTGTTTCCGTGGGTTTTTGCATATCCTTGGCTCACATTTACGCTTACCTGTGAGATTTTATTGACTTACCTGACACATGGATATTGTACCAGAAAAGTTTTAATGCAATTAATTGAAGAAAAAACTAGTATGAACAAAATTATAGTTTGTGTCTCTCCAAAGTAATGCTAGTATCTGTAGATTAAGAAAATGCTTGGATTAGTAATTAACAACAAAACAATGATCTGTGAAACATTCAAACTCTGTCAAAAGCTATAATGGATACTGATATAAACCCACTCAACCTGGCAGAATTAGTGTTGGATGTCGTTTCACTTGATGATGAACGGGTATAAAAAAAGGGGATGTGGAGAATCCCAGGACTCCCTAGCTTCAGGATCACTGAGTTTTGTTTAAAGTGCAATGTACATGTAAAACAATGATAAAGCAGAAGATTTGTCCAGGAACGCTAGGATTAGTTTAAAAAACCCAGTGAAAATGTAAAAGACGCAGTAATCAGGATAGTTCAAGATCACCAAGGTTAGGTAAAAGTACATAGTATATGTAAAAGAGAAAAACTTAGTAAATCAAGTGCTGAATTCGTTTAGGATCACAAGGGTAAGATAAAAGAAGTATATGTAAAAGAGAAAGTAAATGAACGCAGGATTTCTTCAGGATCTTTAGCGTTTGTTAAAATGTAGAAATAAAACAGAAAGTGAATCAAGCCCATGATTCGTTCAGGGCCACTTGGGTTAGTGGAAAGCGCAGTGCCTCCTCCTTCATTGGTCCTTGTTTTCGATAGCATACGCATAATTCCGCCAGTGCCAGAGTATCAGTGTAATCACACACTAATGACTACACTGAGAGTCTATCATGGCACATCGCTTGTAAAATAAAACTGCTCTGAAAAACATTGTAAATGGTAGTGCTGAAAATAGATGCTTTCCTGAAAATGAATGTGTATTTGTTGTCCACATCATAATATAGTATTATGAACATGATTATCATTCGAAGTTTGATGTTGCACAAGAAAAATACGAACGATACATGTATAAATGAACAAAATAATAAATATATAATCACAGACAGACATTTCCATCCAACTCATTCATTGACATGTACCGGACCCGAGAAACGGTGAGGGACACATAGACTGGACTTAATGGATTCAAAGTTGGACTGCACATAGTAAAGGTTGATCCCTTATATGAGAATATACAAACAACTAAAATTAATTTCATCGTCATAAGAAAGTAACATTAAAGCGTCTGTATAACAAAGTGTTCATTTAGAATGCAAATATTCATAGGATACATTTTGCAATATTGAGACTTTCATCTTCATGGAAATCCGCCTTAGTCATATAAACCCAATAGTAACACATTTAAACCAGAAAATATTGCGCATTGAAGTATTTAGTTATAGTGACTGTGTAAATTACATTGTAGAACATAAACCCGAATGCTTTTGAGTCGATTACCCCAGTACTCATATGATATACATCAAGTGATGTAAGTCTTACTGTTTCCACCCCAGTACGGGAGCAGAGGCTCCTGGCAACAGAGGGATGCTCTGGGTGACATGGAATTGGTATCATTGGGTGGCTGCAGCGTTGTATTTCTGTCCACGATGATTTCAACATTGGCAGGCGGATTAGCCCTTAGTCCACCTCCATCTACTGCATCAACAACAATCTGGAGAAAATGAAAAACATAAAATTGCTATAATGCTGCCTATAACCTTACAGGTTTTTTTGTTGCAAATTCCACGAACTGATGGGTATCAGCTAGTTATGTACCTGGCAAGCATGGAAATGGTGGTTCCTTTACTGTAGCATATATGTGGAGGCGATGCAACTCAGTTGGTGAATTTTGTTTTATGACGCAATTCCCAGGTATATTAACTAACGTACCATAACCGACCACGAAGACGTGATATGGATCCATGAATACATGATCTCTTAACCTTACAATGATATTCAGAATTTGCGACATGATATGTATTTCTTACACTCCTGGGCCTAGATTTTCGAAGCTCTCTTAACGCTAAGATAGTCGTAAGTGCCATACATTAGCATTAACTTACGAATGTCTTAGCGCTAAGAGAGCTTCGAAAATCTAGGCCCTGTTTCTTCCAGCTTTTCCTCCATGTTGAATGATTCAACTCACCGTGTATACTCCAGTGTAGCCTGTGTCCGATTCCAGAAAGCACCTGAGACTGACTCCACCAGTGTTCCGGTCCACCATGAAGTACAGCCGTCCAGGAACACTGGAGAGAAGGTTGTTGACCTCATACTGCACAGTGTTGTAAGGGGCCTGTGAGCAGAAAGAGATGGAAATGTAAATACCTCCTATGTGCACATTTACATATTGATGTCTATGTCACAACACAAATGGTAACAAAGAAAAAATTCTTACTTCTACACTCACGAATCAATGTGTAGTTATGACATTATCTGTGAAGGAAAGCAGATTGCATTCAATGCCTACTTGGATCATGGCTAAACATTCGAATGTCAAGGTGAAGGTCATCTTTCCTCAATATCTTGTATGGTCTCCGTGAATGTCCAGGACAACCTGGCATCGTCGCAAGATGGAACCAGTCAGATTTGTGACCTGTGAAATGTTCATCCACGCTTCATTCAGTGCTTGTGCCAACTGTTGTAGGCTCTGTCTCGGTTGTTGACGTGATCGCAGAGTCTGATCAAAGGCATCCCATAAACATTCTATGGGGTGCAGATCTGGAGACCTTGGGGTCATGGCAGTACTTGGATGTTGTGGTTCCTCAAAAAGACGTTCGTCTTGCCGTGTGATCATGAAGTCGGGCGTTGTCGAGTTGAAAACTGACATTTGTCTGTTGCATAATGGGAAGGATTTGTGGCCGAAGAATTTCATCTGTTAACGTTGTGACGTAAATTGCACTGCACGTGTACCAGGTGGGAGATGGCGGTCCACATCTTTACATTCCACCAACTAAACCTGTATGTAGTTGCGAGCATAATGTTCCCAACGAGGTCTGTAAACACGAAATCCGTACTCGTCACTGGTCCAAATCACTCCCGATGATGCAGACAAAGGAAATTTATATTTAGCATTTATTGTTAATGAAAATCAGCAAAACTCCAATGAGATGTTTCTAAATTTTACACTTGTGTGGGTGCCACTCATACATGCGCCATCGTTAGTGTTCGGCGACCTGATCAACGTTTGGTAGAAAGTGACAATATCTGCACAGAAACATCGAATGGACTAAGTGTCAGGTACTAATGCAAACGACGCTCATTAAGAGCATTTGGAATGGTCTTCATGAATCCATCTGAGATGTATGTCCGATGAGTCTGCGAAGGACACCCCTGCCAATCTTCCTTTCAATATGATCCCCATTAGTTTCCCCAATCTCATGACTGGCACCAAGATGAAGATACTCTAAAACCATTTGCCCTTCCTGACTATCCGCATGTTTCCCATTGCACAATGTAGAGTCATAGGGAAACTGAACAAAGCTGATATAGCTTGTCATACAGTTTCAGAACCGCTAAAAGTTTCTAAACCGTTGAAAACAGCGAACGACGACCCCGACACCGACTGTCGTGTCTTCGTCTGACTAGTGGCACACGTGTCTTAGCTCTGCGACTGTACCTCGAGCTTGATGTCGTCGGTTACGATCCAAGCGATGTTTAGGTAAGTGAGTATATGCATATTGTTATGCACTTGTTCCACAATATTCACAAAATATGAACATGGAATCTCGACATTCGGCGTGACCACCAGACTGACACATTGTCCAATGCGAAGGTTCAGAAAGAGTTGCAAGTTACACTTTTGTGTGTTGAAGAAAAATCCTCCGATACCAATATACTATCCAGATCCTGGCATTCCAAATGACCTTGCAAAATCAAAATATTGTCAGAAAAAATCAGTTTCTGTACAAGTCATATTTCAACATGATGGGTTTTACGTTAATATAAACAAGAAATCGCGAGTCTGCAAGGATTATCAGTGTAGTGTTATAGGTTACAACTACCACTTACCAGGTTATCAGCATCTGAAGCTGTCACTCTGAGAACCACGTCTCCAATTGGCCAGGTCTCCGGAATGGTCACTTCATAGGTGACGGGGGTGAAGATGGGTGGGTTCAGGTTCCGGTTGATGGTGAGTTCAACAAGGGCAATGTCGTACAGTCTGGGACTGCCATTGTCCTCAGCTCGAACATAAATCTGTAACGTTGCACATCATAATACAGTCACCCAAAATAATGCAAATATGTGAAATGCATAATACCTCTTGAAATATAACTGTTGACTTTTAAAAGTGTTCAAAACAAGGATAATCCTACGGAATTTATGTAAGTCACAGTGCATTAGCAGACTTCTTACAGCAAGAAGCAGACTTCATGGTTTTACACCGCTTTTAGCAATATTCTAACAAAATCACGGCGGGGGACACCAGAAATGGGCTTCACACATTTGTATCAAAGGGAGCATTCGAAACCGGGCGTTCGGCGTGACGAACAAACGCTTTAACCACTAGCATACCCTACCGCCCCTCTTACAATAAGGACCGCCTCCGTGGTGTAGTGGTTAGAGCGTCCGCCCAGAGGGCGGAAGGTCGCGGGTTCGATCCCCGACCGCGTCATACCAAAAGATGTTAAAATATGGTACTTGTTGGTCCATGACTGGCGCTCGGCATTAATGGGTACAACAAGGACTGGTCGGCTTGGAGTCAGTATAATGTGTCTGAGTGGGGAATTCATGCTTCACTGCGGCATGGTATCTCAGTGGGCTAGCACTTTAAACCAGCTTAAGTCTGGGATAGTACAAGCAGCCGCACATACACATACACACGCATGCACGCTGTCATATGAGCGAAATATTCTCAAGCACGACGTTAAACCCAATTTCACCTCACCTCTTACAAAAAGAGGTAGTGTGTTATTGAAGCCAAGACCATCAGTGTTCGACAGCTGCAACCTATGAAATGAGTCTGACACCTGTTTGATATAAAACATGTTTCTATCTACAAATACATGAATAGACGTGTTCACAAATACCTTATAATTTGTCTCTGAGGCACTGTTGATAGCTGCAGGGTTTGTTGCCTGAATATTGCCTAACCCATCAATTGTAAACAGAGCCAGAGCATTTGCTGGACCCTTAATGGAATATGAGATCTGGTTGAATTCCGTCTGTGAAGAAAATATGGAATATGTGTGACAGCGTAAATCTCTTTTGACAAAACTTAGATGTACGAAAGCATTATTATTTCAGCTGCATAGTGATGTGATTTCTTTTAGAAAGTTAGTATTGATTTATAACTAAATGAGGGGAATTCTTCTCTTCTTTTTTAATCAATATCACTTAGAATACAGGCCTGTCAAAATAAAAGAATTTTTCCAAGAGAAAACATAACCAAACATTTCTCAATAATCCTATGGCCGAGCTTCATCACAGAATAGCACTGTTGCCTATCAAAGCAAGTCAGTAGTTGCTAAATAATTGAATGAATGAATGAATGAATGACATTTTATTTGTATAGCGCTTAATATCCAGGCAATTTCCTGCTCAGTGGCGCTTTACAGAAAAATTACACAATGATAAAAAACAGTGATGCCTAAAAAGACAGTAAAAGCTAAGATGATGAAGGGGGTGGGGTGGGGTGTGGGGTGGTGGTGTGGGCTGTCCTCAGGATTCAAAGCTGAAGTATTGTCTGAATACGTGTGTTTTAAGTTTTCTTTGGAATGAATCCCTCGATTTTGCACTTTTCAGTTCAGCTGGAAGTTCATTCCACAACGCTGGGGCTGCAACTGTAAAACACCCTTCCCCCATTTTAGTGGTGGTTCTGGGGATGGCAAGATCATTCAAAGCACGGCTGGATCGAAGAGTTCTATTTGAAGTTTTGTATGAAATTAGGCGTCTTAGATACTGAGGAGCAGTTGGACCATTCAGGTCTGAATATGTAAGAGAAAGCAGCTTATAGGTGACTCGTTGCTGTACAGGAAGCCAATGTAGCTCCCGCAAGATTGGTGTGATTTCAGAGTGCTTCCTGGAACCCGTGATGAGACGAGCATAGCTGTTCTGTAGATGCTGTAGGAGCTTGATGTTTGAGCTTGATGTTCCATAAAGCAGCGAGTTGCTGATATTGTAGAGACAGAAAGAGATAGAGCGACAGAGGGATCTCACGTGGGGTTGAAAAGATAAGGATGGATCAAACATCACACCGAGATTCCGCATAGATGAGCTGGAACTGACAGAGCCGTCGCCAATGGTGATGCTGAGGGGTGGGACTTTCAGTCGTTGTTGCTGTGAGCCAATAATGATGAATTCGGTTTTTTCGTCATTCATTTTCAGAAAATTGGACTTAACCCTGGAGCGCACCTCTACGATACAGGTCTCTAGCTGGGTTTTCCTATCAATTAATTGAGATGCAATTGCATTGATGTACACTTGGCTGTCATCTGCGTAAGTTTTGAAAGGAATGGAATGGCTCCTGATGACGTTACCGAGGGGAAGTGTGTACACAGTTAACAACATGGGTCCCAGAACCGAGCCTTGCGGGACACTGAATTGCATCTTGGACACAGGTGATCGATGGCCATCGACTTGCACTTGCAGATGACGATTTCCTAAGTATGATCAGAACCACTAAAGAGCGGTACCCATAATGCCTAGTGTGTGATCCATCCTCCGAAGAAGGACATTGTGGTCCACTGTATCAAAAGCAGCGGACATGTCCAATAACACCAGCAGTAACAGTTCTTGGTTGTCTAGGCTTTTTTGGCAATGTCATTTTGCACACACAGAAGGGCGGTCTCAGTGCTGTGTTTCTTTTTGTAAGCAGACTGAAATACTTCCAGCAGTTCATTGTCTTTAAGATGTTGTTGAAGCCTGGATGCAATGATGTTTTCGAGGACTTTAGATAGGAAAGGGAGATTAGAAATAGGTCTGTAATTCATCATTACAGTGCTTTCTAGAGAAGGCTTCTTTAAAAGCGGAGTTACCAGAGCCAACTTGAACTTGTCAGGCACTAGACCGTCGCGGAAGCAGGAGTTCAGAATATAGGTAACAGCTGGGGCCAGAGAATCAAAGCAGGATTTAAACAGTGATGTCGGCAAGGTGTCAAGAACACAGGACTTTGTAGGTGATTTCCTGATGATGTTTGAACACTCAGACACTGTAAGGGGACGGAAACGACAAAGCTCGGTGCCAGTGAACTGGTGGTCATGATCCAGTGCCGTGAAATCCGAGGATGATAAAGAGAGAGATTCCCGAAGGGTTTGGATTCTATTCAGTTGCCGGCCGGCCCTTACATCACACTCAGCAGCGGAAGGAAAGGATATGTGACAACGAGGCTTTAGTAACTTGTTTGCAATTTTGAAAAGTTCTTTTGGAATGTGTTTATTGTCAGTTATTTTAGTGTTGATGTCACTTCTTTTGGCCTCTTTGATAATATCTGTGAGTTTGTTTCATTTATGTTTGTAGATTTGACGACTGATCTCAAGTCTATCGTTCCTCCATCTCATCTCTGCCTTGCGCTTTTCATGCTTAGCAGCCTGGATTTCTGGAGACATCCACTTGGTGTTACTGTAAGGCCTCATAACAACTCGCTTCTTGATTAGAGGAGCTTGATTGTCTAACAGTGAAGTAACGATGGAATCAAACTCATCAACCATAACATTTACAGATTGACAACATGCTATTTTTCCACTGACATTAGAGTCGGCAACATCAACATCAAACTGGGCAATATCAACTTGTGTTAGTTTCCTGTATATAATATCTTTGTAGACAGTGTTTGGTCTCTCACACGTCAAAGTAACAAAGAGAGAATGGTGATCGGATATCATGTGATCTTCTGTCCACACTAAACGTATCAGATCATCTGTTTCCTTAGTGATTATCAGATTATCAGATTCAGTCCAAAAGCATACAGCATTTCCATGAATTGCCCTGCCTGCTTGTTTGTAGTATCATCAACATGAATGTTAAAATCTCCTGCTATCATCATTTGACCACTGCAGTTTGAAGCAGATTCTAACAGATCAGAGAGTGAGTGAGTGAGTTAAGATTTAAAGTCACATCGGCAATATTTCAGCCATATCGTGACTAAAACTAGTTCTAACTTTGTAATACAGACATATTATATATAAAACCCTGTCAACGAAGGACAGTAAAACAACTAGAATATCACAATTAGATTTAAAACTAGTGTGGAAGGTTAAAACTAATAGCACTATTAGGACAATACAAGATAAAAACAGGCTATAGATCGCCAACAACTGAAGGTCGATCACCATACTAGGGACCATGGGGACTTACAGTACCTTGGCTACCTGCATGGACCCTAGTTGGATTTACACCATCCCTTCAGCTGCTGGTGATTGTAAGAAATGTCAGCTACAATTAAAATGACAAAAATGCTACGTTTAAAAATCCTGGTAAGTTTAAATTGACTTTCGAAGTTTTGGGACTTACGTACCCTCTCAGGGGGACAATATTTTTACGATACTTCAACCCCCCTTGAGAGTACAGCCACTAACAATCTTAGTTACTAATCAAACTACCAATCATTAAAACATAGCTATATACAGAACATATTAATCAAAATTCATTAATGAAATCAATTTCTTTTAAAAAACAAGAATTAAATGAAGATGAACAGAATTAAAAAGATCCTTAACAGTTTTAACATTGAAATATTTATCCCTTATGATGGAGAATTCAACGCAGTCAAGCAGGAGATGCTTGACGGTGACTCTCTCATCACAAGGAATACAAAACGGAGGATCTTCACCATTTAACAAATATTTGTGAGTGTACCTTGTATGGCCAATACGACATCGTCGCATGATGACCTCTTCAAATCTGGACTGACAACCCAAGTAAGTGTAACCGATATAGGGTTTTATTTCATGTAATTTATTTATACCTACTTGGGTGTCCCACTTCTTTTGCATTAGATCGCGGATGTATGTTCTAATGCTGGCTTTATAATCAGAGTATGGGATAAGAAGTGGTGTCACAGATTTGTTGAGGGCTGCCTTAGCAGCAATATCAGCCAGCGTGTTCCCAGAAATTCCAACGTGGCTGGGTAACCAACAAAAGACGATGTCGCATTGGCCAGTAGCAAGTTCATTGTACAATTCAATAATTTCTAATAAAAGTAGATGTTTGCAAGAAAGATTTTTTAATAGCCTGAAGACACGAAAGAGAATCTGAAAAGATGATATATTGTTTATATTTACGGTGTTTATTAATATATTGAAGAGCTGTTAAGATGGCGTTTGCTTCTGCTGTAAATATAGAGCTGTTATCCGGTATTCTAGAAGAGATTGTTCTGGATCCAATGACAGTGGCACATGCCACCGCGCCACCATCCTTGGACCCATCTGTAAATAAGGATTTGTATGTATTATATTTATTTTTTTAATTGATTATATTCTTGTTTATATTGTAATTCATTAGTTTGAGATTTCTTAAACTTTGTCAGAGTTAGGTCAACTTCAGGCCTCACAAGTTGCCAAGGAGGAGAAGAAAGAAGACGGGAAGGAGCTATATTTTCCAACTCAATGCCGGCTGCAGAAATGAAAGGCTTAATTCTGTGCCCAAGAGGCGGAACAAGGGAAGGTTTTTTGTTGTACAGATCCTCATAGAGAGGATGGAAGACATAGTTATATGCAGGGTTCGACTGATTAGAAGATAGTTTAGTAATATACTGCAAAGACAATTTGATACGTCGTTGCTTGAGAGAAGGCTCGTCAGCTTCAACATAAATACTATCAATAGGAGAAGTTCGGAAAGATCCAAGACAAAGTCGGAGACCTTGGTGATGGACAGAATCCAGTAGTTTCAAATTGCTTTACACAGGCTCCACCATATACAATGGAGCCATAATCAAGTTTTGACCGGATGAGTGATCTGTACAAATGAAGGAGAGTAGTTTGATCCCTCCCACTTTGAATTGGACACGACTTTTAATAGATCTAATGCCTTCAGGCATTTAGTCTTCAAAGACTTAATATGTGGTAAAAAGGTCAAATGCTTGTCAAAAATCAGTCCCAAAAACTTGGCTTCCTTTACAACGTTAATTGGAGAGCCATCCAAGTACAGTTCGGGATCTTTATGAGGCTTATATTTTCGACAGAAATGTATACATTTGGTCTTAATCTGTGAAAATTTAAAGCCATTCTCAAGTGACCATTTATGAATTTTATTTAAGCACATCTGTAATTGTCTCTCGATGGTATGCATATTTTTACCACGACATGAAACGTTAAAATCATCCACAAACAATGACCCATCTATTGAACAGATCAGAGAAATCTGTTATGAATGTAGAGAAAGTAATGTTGTTTTTAGATGTTGGAGGTGGTCTGTACACAGACACAACACGTACCATTTCATAGTTATTGGTAAAAGAGTTACATCCAAAGCCTGGAAACTTTTATAACGATGAGACGTAACTTTGTGGGAATTGAGATAGCTTTTGGTAGACGATGGCGACTCCACCGCCAGATCGCCCTTTCCGGTTGAAAGTTTCCATGTTAAAACCCTGGGGCAAGAGTTCATTGATACATGCTCATTAATTGTGGTGATTTCACTTACAGAAAGGTCATCATCAACTGCCCTGACCGAGATGACCGTGCGACTGCCCAGGCCCTGAGATACTGTAATGGAGTAGGGATCCTGGATGAACCGAGGGGCGTTGTTGTTTCTGAACACTGATATTGTCACAGAGGCATTGAATGCAGCAGTGAGAGGAGGGCTGCCTTTATCTCGAGCGATCACAACAAACTGAAACAAACAAGTTCAGACTCTTCAAAAGCCTATGCAATATAAGTATGTGGGGATATGACTTTGAGGAAATTTCTTTGTGATCTCACTTAATCATACCAAGAATAATTGTAAGGAAAACTAGAAAAAAAATCATGATGGTACACAAAAACAACTCACATTAAACTGACTTCTTCTGTTTGTATCGGAAGTAAGTGGACGCCTCGGGCGGATATCACCAGTGGAACTGACAATCTCAAAGTAATAGAGTTGTACAGCATCTCCTACAAGCTCATACGTCACTTCATTGTTGGGGGGCTGAAATGTAAGATGTGATGTTTGTAATGATGTTCAAAACTAGATGAAGCAATGTTTCAACTGTTAACACATTTGTGAAACACCTGAGTGATTTGGATGTTTACAAGGGAGGTAATCAATACCTGGGCATCGCCATCTCTTGCTGTGAGACGCAGGATATTCTCAAGCACTGGGGTTGTCTCCGGGATCTCGATGGTATACGCTGCAGAACTCCACGCTGGACGTTGAAAATTTCTTGTAACTGTTACATACAGCAGTGCTATGGCAGACCGCGGAGGGGTTCCGCCATCTTGTGCCACAACACGGACCTGGAATCAATCACAGTGAGACCACAGAACTAACAAGAAAGACATCCCTTCTTCATGTCTTCTGCAAGCAAGTAAATACCTTCATACAAATTAATGATTTTCGCAATCGAGCTATTAATATGTATCACCAGGAATGGCAATCACGTTTGAATAATAGCACACGCTATGATTGTTATAGGACATTTAAAACTTTACTACAACAAGAAAAATATTTATCTGTACTTAGATGCAACGATTTAAGGTATACGTTTATAAAATTCAGACTAGGTTTGCTAAATTTAATGGTAAATGAAGGAAGAAAAATGTCCATCGAGAGGAATCAAAGAATCTGTCCATTATGCAAAGAAGCAGTAGAAAACGAAATTCACTTCACCTTTATCTGTAAATCTTATGCTGACATTAGAAAGAAATATATACCGGAGTATTACCTGTCAAAACCCCCCGATGTAGCTTTTAAATCACTATTATGTTCTTGCAATGAACAAAATATTAGAAATCTGTCATTGTTTATAAAACACTCCAGTAAGTTAAGAGATGAATTGTTGAAACATTAGTTACAACTTACTTGTAAAAAATACTAATGTACAACTCTGTAAACTGTATTTGGGCCGGAGGCCTTGAATACAATAAAATTCTTGTCTTGTCTTGTCTTGTCTTTTCATACTTATCCAAACACCATATACTCTCAATGAATGCTGCTACTCCATACTTACTGTGAAGTCATTGATGGGTGTGTTTGTCAGGGTAGTTCTCACTGACACAATTCCACTGTTCTGATTTATTTGGAAATAAGTATCAGATGTGCCATCTCCAATAATGCTGTATCTCAGAGTACCAAAGTTTCCCTGTAATGTCAAACGAAAAGCAACCTTTAAACAGTATTTGATTTTTGACTTGCAATCTTTTACCTCTACTGAGAAGCACTTTCAAAACTTGATCATTGGTTTACTTTCTACATATAACATTGACAATTGTAGCCATTGGTTTGGACCAAATCATGTCTCTCTTCATCTGATACTCTGGTGTTGAAACTTTACTTTACAGAGATAACATAATCTTCAAGTATCCTCATGTTATGGGTTTCGGGACACTTAAGAACACACATTGCTTTCATGATCACAGCACAAACAATTATAGACAATTTATCTGAAAAACAATCCTTCAACAGAGTATTTACAATGTCTGTCACTATATAGCCAAAGTTAACGCTGTTGTCCAATACTCCAATGATATACAAGAATTCATAACTTATTAATGATGTTTGTCTTAATAATATTCTAATAATACCACTCAACTCAGTCAATCAACATATACCATCATACAGTGGTTAGTTTGTGATGACATGGATCTAGTCATTTGAACATTGGTTTACTAAATTCCATCGTCTAAAGTTCACACCATCAGCCAATGAATAAAGTTCCTGGAAATACAACTACCTGTGAGTCAGCATCTGTAGCTGTGACTGTTTCCACAAACTGGCCTATTGTTGTGTTTTCAGGTATGACCCTGTTGTACACTCTTGTGAAAAAGATGGGTGGGTTGGCATTGCGTATCACATTGATGGTGACAAAGGCTGGGTTTGGATTTGCTGGCCTGTTGGTTGGAAGGCCTTGGTCACGGACATCAACGGTCATCTGAAACAAAGGAAGGTGATTACATCTGTACCATACACTTGCACCATTCATCACCAGCAGACATGATTTTTGTATATAAGTACTTTGTTGTAGCGTTGAGTACACAGTAGTTGTGAAGGACAAACATCGTTGTTAGACACATCATTATAATCAAGTAGCCACTTAATAAAGACTTTTAGAGCTATGTAGCTCCAGATAGCTTGAAGCAGAACTCACATTAAATCTGCTAATGGCTTGGTTTTCGGCAGGAGATCTAATGAGGTAGATTTCACCTCGATTGTTGACAGCAAAGAACTGCTGAGCAGTGGCATCCCTAGTTATACTGTAAGACAGCTCATTGTGAGGGGCTGTAAAACAAAAATGCATTCAACGAGAAATTGTCAGGTACAGATGAATAACAACAGAATCATAACATAATCGCATAATAAACAAAGTGATGAATAATAAAATGAAAGAATGCAAACAGTTTTATACTCTACCTGTCTGTCAGCGTCATTAGCTCTGATTGTAGTAATAACAGATCCCAAAGCACGGTTCTCAAAGATGGTCTCAGTGTAGTTCTGTTGACTCAGTGTGGGTGCATTGAGGTTCTTGTTCACAGTGAGATCAATCCGCAAATCAGCAAACAGTCCTCCACCATCAGTTGCTCGAACACGCAGCTGTGGGAGTACATAGTGGGACATGTTAACAGTGTGATGCATATATTACATTGTTCTACACATGTAATGTTTACAATGTGTTCCACTGTGTTACTCCATACATAGCTATGAAATAGAAGGGTAATCTTCAATACAGTAAACTATGGATATAATGAACTCAAAGGGAACACTAATGTTTGTTCATTATAACCATTGATAATTTATAACCATTGATCATTTCACTAAATATACAGTAAGTGGCCTGACCAAAACAATTAATTATATCCTTCATTTTGTTTATAAGGGTTTAGTTATAAACATTGTTAACTGTACCTATTATTGCTATAACCAATAATAAAAATTCTGCACAATTTGTTTCTTCTTACTAAACTTACAGTGAATGATCTATCAGTAGTTGAAGACAGTAAGGCTCTGGTTTGAATTTCTCCACTGGCAGAGTTGATTTGGAAATAATCAGAGCAGGTCCATCACCACGCAGTGTGTAGGTCAGCACATTAAAGGCTCTGAAAGAAGTGACAGGTTAAATGGTTAGTCTCAGAAATTTCAATCTTAACTAAATCATATCATTGTGTGTATATTTCTTCCAGATATATTTCTCTGCACTGGATGTAACACTGTACAATAAAAGACTTCTGTAAGAATATCTTAATTTAGATATAATTACATACTGCATTGAGTCCGATATAATCAACAACAAAAATTTTATAGGAAAGTACTTACGACAGTGTCCACGTCAGTGGCAGTGGCTGTGATGACTGAAACAACCTGATTGATGCTGTTCTCATCAATATTAGCCGGGAGAGTGGTAGGTTGAACACAGGTGCCGTGTTCCTGATCACATTTACTGTCAGGGTGAGAACTCCAGCTCGAAAAGGGGATCCTTCATTGGTGCCTAAGATGGTGACCTAAATCAAAGTTACATAGACCAAGATTACTTGATGGATGACACCTGTAAAGGATGAGTTTATTTGTGTTTGTACATGAGAAACAAAACAAGTAGCCAAGAACCTCACCGTATATGTTGGAACACCAGGATCATCAGTGAATGGATTCCGCAGCACCAGTTGTCCTGTGGTAGGGTTGATAAAGAACAGTTGTGTGCCAGAGGGGGGTGACACGTTGCTGATACTGAATGTCACACGGCTGTTAGGAGTGTTCTGATGCATTAAAAAAATAAAGTTACACATAGAAAACAAAGGTTACAGGGTAAAAATTGTATTGGTTTCTTTTTAAGTTCACAACTCCTTCAATCAATAGCTTTCGTTATTGGTTGAGCATAAATATCTTTACGGATGGGCCAGTGGACAAAATTCCAGAGTTCAGAACTATATACCCTGATCTTTAGAGTCAGGATATGATAATGCATTCTCAAAAGTAGTACATTTTAAAACATGCCAACAATATCACATGTTTAACATTGGCACTAAATCTTCCTGCAATTTCTGCTACCGGTGGGTCATTATCTGCTGCATTAATATCTACCAGCTCTTCACTGATACCCAGATTCTCCAATACTGAGATGGTGTCAACCAGAGTGCTTGTTGTTAGCACTGGGGTGAAGTCATTTGGTCCTGAAATACAGAAGTCAAGTAGGCCATAAATTTCCTACTTCTATTTAACAACAACGACTTTGTGAACATCCACAACTGTGTAACTCGATATGTGAACAGATCTGATAGCTGCTGAACAAATAAGTTTAATTCTCATCACAAAGTTCAACATCTTCCTGATGAATATGAGTTCCTGATTATCATCGTTAAAACAAACAGTAAACAGTAGGTTCTACTTACAATAACACTGATGGTGACAGTGGCAGTGGAGGAGACAGCATTTGTGTTCACCCCATCCGATGTTGTCACGGTGAACAAGCAAACCTGATTCTTAACTTCATAGTCTAGTGGTATGACAGTGCTGATAACACCAGTTGTTGGGTTTATCGAAAATGATTGGAACTCCACCAGCAAACTGGTAGACTATGTTGTCTGTCTGGTCGGCATCGACTGCCTGAAAATCACAAAATGTATGATGCACACCTGTTTATCATCTTGGATGAATGCATCTCATGATATGGGGGAAGAAGATGTTTATGTGTTCACAGAGGTCATAGAGCCATCTGGCTTAAGGAATATTTAATGGTGTAACTGATCATTTCAATGTGCTCAAAGACAGACAAACATATTTCAGCAGAGGTGAAAATGAATCACAGTAGTAATTTACCGAAACTGTGAGAACAGATGTTCCGTTGAGATTTTCTTGTATGGATCCTTCGTAGTCAACGCTAACAAACAATGGTGGTATGCTGTCCTGTGTATCGATGACACTGACAACAACAGTGGCTACACTGGCCCTGGGTGAAGCCCCCGAGTCAATGGCCCTCACTGTCAACTCATGCTGTTGCTGGGTCTCATAGTCGAGTGGAACAAGTGTGGTGATTGCGCCGGTCTGACCATCAATACGGAAGCTGGGAAGTCAATGAAAACGTTTGGTCATTAAATCCTAAACATGTTAACTGTACAATAGAATTATAATCCTGAGGTAAGATCAAATAGGATTTGATGTCCATTCAAGTTGATTGCGCTTATGAGAAATGCATATACATTTGTGTCTCTGAGACTGTCTGTGTGGTGGCTTTTGTAATAGTTCCAGACAATGACAGTTCTGCAGTGCTAGCCCCTCTGAGATACTCAACCTTTAGTTAAAATGAACACCCCAAGCATACCGACTCTGAGCTGACCAGTTCTAGTTTTAATCTAAGAATGCCAAGTGCCAAGCCAGGTTACTACAAGCACCATGCTTCCATGTCTTTTTGCATGACATGGCCAGAGAGGAATCAAGACGCCACCCTCTCTCTATCCACTAGACCATGGATATGGTAAAAAACAACATTTTGTTTTTCTTATTGCTGAACATATCAACTAATCAACAAATTCAACCATCAGAAAGTATCTTTCACATTTCAACATGTTTCAGACAATCCTTATAAAAGTTGCAAACATATTTCAGAATTTCATGAAATTATTTTCATAAGATCATTGATCCCATATGTTATATAGGTACCGGTTTTGGGATTCATATGAAGGTAAAATAACATTCAGTAAATAAATGAGAACACATGTCTACAGTTCTCTGCAATGAACTAATTTCATCCAAGAACTTTGACACAATGTGTTTACCATCCAACCATGTCATATATGACAGTCGCCTCTGGGGTGTACCACTCTGATCACCATCCACAGCCTGGAATCATAAAATTTAACAAAAAAATCATTAAATATATGCAGCTTGAATTACAACAATTCTTGTATGTTAAGAATTATGGTAAAATATCTAGAGCAATCAATCACTTCCACACTCCTTAAAACTGGACTGGATATATTAACTAGCTCAACTCTCTATCTGGAAGTGCTACAATTCTATTTGTTTGGAATCATGTTAAAATATTGATCACTTCGACACTCCTTCACCCTGGACCAACATATAAATAAGCCTAATACTCTAGCTACAGAGAAATACATACAGCAACACTTCCAACTGTAGCAGGGGGTGTTTGACCTTCTTGGACATTGAAGAAATATCTGTTGTTGACACTGTTGAGGAAGACTGGAGAGTTGTCATTGACATCGGTGACAATGACTCTCAACACAGTGGATGCTGGCTGTAACAGTTACATTTTCACACATTCAAGTCAAACTTTATTTAAGTGAAATTGCATGAAATTGTTAGAAACATGATAATTAGCAATTTATCTGAAGTTGTGAGTGATACCTTACAGAAGTTCCGAGATCTGAAGCAGTGATGGTGAGGTTGTACCTCTGTACTGTCTCCTCGATTCGTCTCACTCTGAACTGCTCCCCACTTATAAATTAGAGAAAAAGAATAATGCCAATGCAGCA